CAATTAAAGATAAGCTCCTACATATCTGAAGCATTTAAAGCACTGGTCAGCTAAAAGAACCAAACACCCACAATCCTAAAGCTTAACAGTGGGTTTGACCATTACAATGAAAAAGTCATACTGCTGTTTGACCTCCAAATAACCTTTGTATCCCCTTCCTGAATGATGACAGGAAGACTGTTGAGAATTACTATAAATAAACAGATTGCCTAGCACAGAATAATGCAATTAAAGTAACTGTCACCTCCTTTCCATATTCTCCTTTTCTCTGAAGACTGGTAGGGCAAGTCACAGAAGAACCCATTAAATCAGAAAACCAGAGCCAAGAACTTGTTTGCACTAATAATGAGGTTTGGGATTTTAGTCAAAAAGAGAATTAAGGTTCAAAATTAACCTCCAGGGAAACAAGTAGATAAGTGAAGGCATTCATTATAATGCATAGCATGATCTCCATTGTATGTCTTTTCAGATGATTATTTTCTCTTCAATAAAGTGACATAAAGGTAGCCAAAAGAATAGGCAAGATTAAATCTATATTTTCAATTTAGGAAAACCAATTTATCATTTAATTTGTAAAATAAAATTATCTAAAGCCAATTAGATTGTAAAAAAAATTACAGTTAACACAATATTGAAATCAGCAGCATAGTGATAATAAAAACGTAATGTTTAAAACATTCCATTAAAAAAATTCAAAAAATAAACTCAGTGTAGAAAGTTAGCACCCACCCCTCTCCTAGAAGAATGAAATATTTTGAGAAATATTAAAAGGCAGAATATTATATTTCCCTGGATGAGAAGTGGAGAAACACGGTTTTTTTAAAAGACAAAAAGCAGACTCAATCTCCCTCCCCCCAGCAGATTTTTTTGCCCATTGAGAAAGATTGGGCCAGCCTATCTACAAAACAAGACCTTCAGTTCCAGGGTGAAGGGATTAAGACATGACCCTCCAGGACATAATAGGATTAACCCCTTTCTGGATCGGGACTCCCTACGCACGGTCACTCAAGCACTCATCACTTCCCGCCTGGACTACTGCAATGCTCTCTACATGGGGCTCCCTTGGGGTGCACCCGGAGGCTGCAGTTAGTCCAGAATGCGGCCGCGCGGGGGATTATGGGAGCGACGGAGCGCTCACATATGACACCTCTCCTGTGCGAGCTGCACTGGCTTCCTGTGGTCTTCCGGGTGCGCTTCAAGGTGTTGGTGTCCATGGCTTAGGGCCGGGCTGTCTGCGAGACTGCCTTCTGCTGCCAATAGCCTCCCACCGACCGGTTCACTCGCACAGAGAGGGCCTCCTCAGGGTGCCGTGGGCCAGACAGTGCCGGCTGGTGACCCCCAGGGGGAGAGCCTTCTCTGTGGCAGCACCTGCCCTCTGGAATGACCTACCCCCTGAGATACGCACGATATCAGACCTCCGGACTTCGTCGGGCCCTGAAAACACACTTATTCCATCTAGCCGGGCTGGCTTGATCCCATCCTCTCAGTTTTAATTGAATTCAGTTTTAATTGGGTTGTTTTAAATTATTGGGCTGAAATTATTTAATTGTTTTTTAAACTGTTTTTAAATTTTATGTGCTATGTTTTATCTTGGCTGTACACCGCCCTGAGTCCCGCAGGAGAAGGGTGGTATAAAAATAAAATAAAATAAAATAAATAAATAAATAAACCCACTAGCAGAACTCAAATACTTTGGCCACCTAATGAGAAGGAAGGACTCACTGGAGAAAAGCCTAATGCTGGGAAAGATTGAGGGCAAAACAAGAAGGGGATGGCAGAGAATGAGGTGGCTGGATGAGTCACTGAAGCAGTAGGTGTGAGCTTAAATAGACTCCAGAGGATAGTAGAGGACAGGAAGGCCTGGAGGAACATTGTCCCTGGGTCACGATGGGTCGGACACGACTTCGCAACTAACAACAACAACAACAACTAGCAGCAGAGCTCACTACATTGCACAATCTCTTAATGACATTGCATCAGAGTCCAAACTTCAACCAACCTTCTCAGACTACCTACACAGCTAGCTATGACCACTACAATAGCTAATAGAATACATGTTCTTGCACAAGGACAGAAAGTTCAAGTGCAAAGCCCAAGAGAAGGTATAAAAACCCCTCACTCTCAACTCCACGTGATCAGCTGCCCAGAACCACCCATGTACTTCTGCTTCATCAATAAATGGATCCTCTTTCCAATCAGCCTCCAGCCTCCGTTTTGGCTCCAGTGCCTTTCTCCTGGCTTGGAACTGAACCAGATGGATATTTCTTCCAACATCAACTTAATGGACTGATATTCTCTTTAACAAAAGTCTTCAAAGGCCAAACTTGAAAACTGAAAGTGATAAGAATCACAGAAAATTCCAGAAGACAAAGGTCATCACTGAAAATGTTATGAACTGCATACTTCATTGTATGTTATCAATGCAAGCAAGTAAAGTTATTTTCATAAATTTGTAATAGTTCACTAACAGTGCAGTTTGTACTTTTAACCTCTGTTCAGTCGTGTCCAATTCTTGGAAGCTGCCTGGGTAAGTCCCTGAAGTTTTTTTGGCAAGATTTTTCAGAAGTGGTTTGCCAATGCCTCCTTCGTAGGAGTGAGAGAAAGTGACTAGCCTAAGATCCCCCAGTTGGCTTTGTGCCTAAGATAAGACTAGAACTCCCTGTCTCCCAGTTGCTATTTTTTTTAAAATTTGATTTATATGCCGCCCTTCTCTGGAGACTCAGGGCGGCTTACAATGTGTTAAGCAATAGCCTTCATACTTTTGTATATTTATACAAAGTCAGCTTATTGCCCCCACAATCTGGGTCCTCAATTTACCTACCTTAGAAAGGATGGAAGGCTGAGTCAACCTTGAGCCTGGTGAGATTCGAATTTACAGTAATTGCAGGCAGCTGGTGTTAATCACAATGCTATCAGTCTGCTGAGCCACCAGGCCCTTCTATCCCGATGCCTTAATCATAGGTGCTCATTCAAATAATTTAGTGCTTACTTAATCGAGAGTTTTAAAACTCAATATTTTGAGATGATAGGGCAGTGACTCAACCGAGCAATAAATAGGTATAACATTTCCTTCACCTATCTTATAACTGACATTTTGTAAGTGGTTGGAACATCTGAAACTTAACCTAGTAGGAAGCCTTTTAAACAAAGATTCAGTACTGTAGCTTAGAGTTCCCCAACATTTCTGGCTTTGTGGACTGGCGGGGGGGGGGGGGAGAGGGATGGTTCATCCAAGTGGTCAGCAAAGGCATGCATACAGGCTCCGTTTGCACAAGTGTTGTGAATGTGCACCTGCTGCTCCCACAAATGGAGCATGCGCACATGGGCTCACTCGCTGCTTGCGGAAGTGAGAATGCGTGTGTACGCGTATGTGCTCGCCAGCCGTTTCCACAGCCCAGTTGCAAACTCCTCACAGCCACAGCCCACAGTTTGGGGACCCCGCTGTAGCCTACTCTGGGTGTAATTAGGACATGAGGCCAGATCTGCTGGATGCAGGTAAGATTATCAGAAGATAAATCAAAATCCTTATAAAATTGGTTCGGGTTATTTTATTAGGATTGAAATGTTTCTGAGCGTTGGTCTTACCTGATACGCCACTTCTAGTCACTAGGAAACGCCGGTCACTAAAGGGTTACAACCAAGCCAGTAGCTCTAGGACCGAGTCCACCAACAAAAGAAGCCCCGCCTCTTCCTGTATCCAGTTTGAGACGAGGACGAAAGGTGGACTGTCGTGTCTGTAGAAAAATAAAGGAAAGGTAAAAAATCCCCAGGACCCACCCCCCTCTGTCAACAGCCAAAAGCCAGCACGAGAGGTGCCGGACCAATTGGGAGGGGGTGACCGGCGTTTCCTAGTGACTAGAAGTGGCGTATCAGGTAAGACCAACGCTCATTCTCAGTCACGGAGGAAACGCCGGTCACTAAAGGGATATACCAAAGCCCGTGTACCTATTGGGAGGGAGAAGGCCGGCGCCTCTCCTGGTCCTGGGAAGATACCCGCTGCAGCACACGTCTTCCAAAGGAGGCTTCCGCCGATGCATAAACATCCAACCAGTAATGCCGGATAAATGGAGATGGAGACGTCCAAGTAGCGGCTCGGCAGACCTCCTCGAGTGAAGCTTGGGTAGACCAGGCAGCCGAAGTAGCCGCGCTCCTGGTAGAGTGGGCTGTAACACCACGAGGCACTGGCAACGATTGAGCTTCGTAAGCTAAAGAAATGGAAGCCCTGAGCCATCGACCCAAGGTAGTAGAAGAAACCTTTGACCCCATGGACTGGGGTTGGAAAGACACAAAGAGAGCCTCGGAGCGACGAAAGGAAGAAGTCCTGGAGATATAAATCTTGAGAGCCCGACGAACATCAAGCTTGTGCCACACAGTCTCCAAGCGATGACGGGGGAAAGGACAGAAGTTGGGAAGAATGATCTCTTGAGAACGATGAAAAGTTGAATTGATCTTTGGAATAAAAGCTGGATCCAATCTCAAAATTACTCGATCAGGATGAATAATACAGAGATCCTGGCGAACTGAGAGGGCAGCCAACTCCGAGATCCTTCTAGCCGAGGTAATAGCCACTAGAAAGGCTGCCTTAAAAGACAAGAACTTCAGCGAGACTTCCCGGAAAGGTTCAAAAGGAGGACCAGTAAGAGCTAACAGAACCTTATTCAGGTCCCAGGTGGGAAACCGATGAACAGCCGGAGGACGTAGATTGGTTGCGCCTCTGAGGAATGAACGGATGAGAGGATGAGTGGACACCGACTCAGCGGTGCCGCAGGTGAGGATAGATGAGATGGCAGAGATTTGCCTCCGGAGGGTATTGGGAGAAAGCCCCGAAATGAATCCATCGTGAAGGAAGCCCAGGATGTCAAGAATGGAAGCAGCAGTAGGAAGGACCTTCTTACGGCGACACCAGGCATAGAAGGCCATCCAAGTGGCATTGTAAATACGGTTCGTTGATCCTCGACGGGAGGCCTGGATCACAGAAATTATTTCCGAAGGCACCCTGGCTAATGACAGGAGGAACCGCTCAACCTCCAGACGGTCAGCCGGAACCACTGAGGGTCTGGATGAGCTAGACAGCCCTGCCACAGAGATATTTTGTCGGCCGGGATCTGCCAATGGGGAGCAACAGAGAGAGCCATCAGATCCGCAAACCACGGTTGTCTGGGCCAGAAGGGAGCCAGAAGGATGAGCTCGGCTTGTTCCTGCAACAGCTTCCTGATGACCCTGGAGATGAGGGGAAGAGGTGGGAAAGCATAGAGAAGAAGACCACAAGGCCACGGGCTGATCAAGGCGTCCACAGCTTCGGCTCCCGGGACAGGAAATCTCGTGTAAAACCTCGGAAGCTGGTGGTTGGATTCGGACGCGAAGAGGTCCACTGCTGGAAGGCCGAAGCGATGCACGATGTCCTGGAACAGAAGTGGATCGAGGCTCCACTCCGTCTGGTCCACCACCGATCGACTGAGAGCGTCCGCCTGAACATTTGCTGACCCTGAGATGTGAGAGGTGTGGATGGATGCCAAGTGACTCTCCGCCCACCTGAAGAGACGAGATGCCTCCCTCATGAGAGCCTTGGAGCGGGTCCCTCCTTGCCGGTTGATGTGGGCCTTGGCAGCTACGTTGTCTGTTCTGATCAAGACATCCAGACCTCGAAGGAGAGGAGCGAACTTGCGAAGAGCTCGGAAGATGGCTCTGAGCTCCAAGATGTTGATGTGAAGTCCCCTCTCCTGGACCGACCACTGCCCTTGGGCCAGCTGAGACCCCAGGTGAGCCCCCCATCCGAAGAGGCTCGCGTCCGTGGTGATGCTCACGCGTTGAGGCACTCTGAACAGGCATCCCTGAGCAAGAGCCGGAGAGGTCCACCATGCCAAGGACTGGAGAACTTGAGGAGTCAAGGGGACTCTGGCCTCTGACGTGCTCCTGCGAGACCGTTGAAACGGAAGTAAAAACCACTGAAGTTCCCGGCTATGAAACCGAGACCAGGGAGTGATCCCGAAGGCAGAAACCATTTTCCCTAGCAAGCGGGAAAGCCCCAGGAGGGAAAAAGAGCGAGAGGCCTTAACCTGACCTACCAGCTCAACAATGCTGTCCTGACGATCCTGAGAAAGGGAAACCTGCAACCTGACAGAATCAATAACAGCCCCTAAATGCTGAATGCACGTGGAGGGAACTAGATTGCTTTTAGAACGATTAACCAAAAAACCATGGGAATGCAGGGTCTGAAGGGTGACCAGAATATCCTCATTACCCCTAACCTCAGAACTAGACAAAATAAGAATATCATCTAGATAAAACAAAACTCTAACAGGAAAAGATCTCATATGGCCCGATAAGGCAGCCATGATCTTTGTAAAGACCCTAGGAGCTGAGGAAAGGCCAAAGGGAAGGGCTCTATACTGATAATGCCTACCCCGATAACAAAAACGGAGGTATTTCCGATGGTCCGGAAAAATGGGCACATGGAGATAAGCCTCCGTCAAATCGATGGAAGACAAAAAATCACCTGGACGGATCGAAAGGAGAATGGTCTGGAGGGATTCCATCTTGAACCGACGATAGACTATATATCGGTTCAAGGATTTAAGATCCAATATGGCCCTCCAGCCTCCTGAAGCCTTGGGAACTAGAAACAAACGGGAATAGAATCCCTGGCCAACTTCCCCTAGGGGAACACATTGAACAGCCCTAATCTCCAAAAGGTGTTGAATAGCCTCATCTAGCAGAACCCTCTTGGACCTGACATGAGAGACAGGGCACCTGACAAACAAGTCAGGGGGAACAGAAGAGAACTCAAGGGTCAACCCAAACCTAATAGTACGTCTAATCCAGGGGTCTGAAACTGAACAATCCCATTGGTCAGCAAAAAATGCTAACCTACCTCCAATTAAGGAGTCAGAGATAGGAAAAGGAGAACTAACGGGACCTGCGAAAGGGACGCCCCCTACCCCCCCTGAAGGGTCTGCGGGGAGGGAAACGGGACCCCTGCCTGACCTGGAAATCCTGCTGTTGTCCGCCCCTGGGCTGAGGGTACCGCTGAGGCCTGGACTGGAAGGAAGAGAAGTCGGAGCGAAAGGAATGGCTTCGAAAGGAACCCTGCTGACGAGGATCAGATCTTCTCGATAAGGCGGGCAGAATCTTGCGATGATCCTTCGTCTCAATGAGGAGTGGGTCCAAGGCTGGGCCGAAGAGATAGTTCCCCGAGAAAGGAGCTGAAGCCAGTCTCCACTTGTTCCGAACATCTGCCTGCCACTGACGAAGCCACAGGAGCCTACGAGAAGTGACTGAAGCCCCGATAGCCTTAGCTGAAAACCTTGCCGCATTCAGAGTAGCATCAGCAGAGAACTCAACAGCAGCTAGGATCTTGTTGATGTCCTGGTGAGATCGCATATCAGAAGGAGGCAGCCTTTCCTGTAATTGGCGAAGCCAAAGGATGGAGGCCCTGTTAAAAAAGGAAGCTGCCGAGGAGGCCTGAATTGACCAAGCAGAGGCCTAGTGGTCCTTGACCAAGGAGCGTTCCAACTTCTTATCTTCAGGGCGCAGGAATTCCTCTGACGGACCAGTAAGAGGAGATGCAGAAGAGAGGGCGACGACGGGAGCATCTACAGAAGGAACTTGAAGAATATTAGCAAAATCAGATGCCATATTATAAAATCTTTTATCTAGACCATTGGGAACCGGGCCAGAACTAGGAGAAGACCACTGTCTTTGAACGACATCAGAAAACAGCTTGGGAGCTGGAACAACCTCTGCACGAATGGAAGGTTCCTGAAATAATAATGATGAAGAGGGATGCTGAGAAGATGGTGTAGAAGCCCCTTGAGAGGAAGGAGTAGAAGAAATTCCCAGGCCAGTAACATTTTGAGCTTTAAATAGAAGGGATCTGAATAATTGAGGCTTGAAGAGACCAATGAAGGAAGGCTGGTCTGGTTCAAGGCCTTCATCCTCCGAGAGATCTTGATCAGGGGCAATTTCCCCCTCAGACAGGGAACCTTGACTTGCATTTTCCGGGGAATCCGCCCTTTCTTCACATTGCACAGGATCAGCAACCATCTGGGCCCTCACAGAACGACTCTGCTGACTCACATAACTGGAGGCCTCAGAAGAGGCCCTTTGCTGAAGGCCTTCAGCAATACCCTGCCTAATTGAAACAGAAACAAGTTCAGCTAGGGCAGGAGTTAAATTTACAGGAGCCTCAGACCCCTGAATGCAGGTTTGGGCTTGAGCCTCAGGAAATTCTTGCCTTGGGGGGGCCTGAATAGAAACAATTGGAGATAGAGGCCTAGCAGCAGGAAAAACTGAAGAAGCATCAGCAGCTACATTCTCACCCAGAGTAGACTGATCAGGAGAAAAATCATGTTCAATTTGAATTTGGGAAGAAGGAACAGCCACATTGGAAGTGGGGAAGGCAGGAGATTTAGAAGGCCCCACAGAAGGAGATGAAACTCTAGAGGCCTCTGAAGCAGCTTTTTGAAAGGCCTTTTCCATGGCCTTATGCCTCCTGGTCTCTTCTCTTGATGATGTAGCAATATTAGCACTCTTGGAGTGAGTGGATCTAGTAGAGACTCTGGCTGCCTTGGGAGGAACAGAATCCCCTGAGGAACTTTCTTTAGGATCAGAAGAATGGCCCCTTTTTCCTTTGCTTTGGGATTTATTGCTCCTAGCATCAGCCATGATAAAGCAGAAATTTACTTTTGCAGCTCAGAATAAATGCAAAGGATAGAAATCACCCTTAAATGCACCCACAGGGAATAATTGGAGGTTCAGGTAACTCACTGCGCCAGGAGAGAAGCAGAGTAGAATCCAGGAGCCAGGAAGATTACTCAGGAGGCAGGAAATAGCCACTAGCCAAAGGGCTTAACAGCGTGGCAAAATTGGGCGTGGAAAAGCCTTCGCGCCAGAAGTTAGCAGCCAGAATCCTCCAACAGCCACAGGAGGCAGGGAAACCTCTCCAAAAGCCTCCAAAATCCTTTGAAAGTGCTGCAAAAGATAGGGCGATGCAAAACGCACGTGGGCGTTGCTGCAGGGCTGCTCAGGGCCACTGGAGCGTTTCTAGCACTCCCCAGCTGATTCCAATAAAGTTTAGCCACTTTTGAAGAAAACTCCAGCAATTTGAGCAGAAAGGAGCAAACTAAGTAGAAATAAGCCAGCAATGGCCAAATAACTCCCCCACAAAGAGTTAATGAGAGAGAGAACTAACAGACACGACTGTCCTCTACCGGACCGGTCCTAGAGCTACTGGCTTGGTTGTAACCCTTTAGTGACCGGCGTTTCCTCCGTGACTGAGAATTACTTTTAAGTCCCAATAAGATATTTTAATTGGATGATTAACATCTAATTAACAAAAAATGTTGGACAATTTCTTCAACATGCTTTTATTTGTATTTTTCCATGATTACCAACTACTGTTTGTCAGGCTCCAAGTAATGCACCCATCACAAATCGAACTCCAAGGCATTGCTTCTCCTCAAAGAATAAATTTATTTAGATACATCATCTTGGTGCTACTGGTGAAAAGCCAGTACTAAAGTTCCCAGGCTTTTCGCCCCGATATAAGTTTCAGTTTCTCAAGTTTCCAAAACAACTGTCACATTGTCCAACCAAGATAGGAACTGGTTGCTCAGCGACATCTCTCAGCCAGAGGTGGAATGTGGTTGACTCATCAGCTAGGAATGATGTTTTGACTGAAGGCTCCATCCCCCTCCAGTTCCAAGCTGTGTCAAACTCAATTCATGCTAGGATGCCCAAGGATACAAACAATCCCACACCCCAATCAAATTCAGGCTTGACACTGTTTTTCCTTCTTCCACAAAAGATCACTGAATAATGTCTTTTCACAGATAAAACCATGCATAATACAGATATGTGACTAAACAGAAATTTATGTCTCATATACATATTGGAACTCAAAACCATCAATTAACACTAAATATGGAGATTCGGGATGAATAAAAGAAATACTACACATAGTTAACTGTGGAATTTGCTGCCAGCAGAAATGCTCCTGATCATAAATTTAAATGGTTTTAAAAGAGAACTAGATAAATCCAAGCGGCTAGACAGTTTAATGACAGGATGTGATGTCCAAATTGATAGCAGTATGCTGTCAGTACCAGCCGCCGTGGAGCAAGGGAGATACAACTTTCCTCTCTGTATTTTTAACCTTCCTCAAAAAATACAGTTGCTTTGTGTGTAACCTGAAATGTTTTCTTTTGTGGACCAGGCCAGAGGAATTCTTATAATCTTAGAGGCAGTTAGAGGCATTCTTAATTGCCCGGTTTAAACATGATTTACTGTTATGGAAAAATACCAAAAAACCTCTAGGCAAAGATTGGAAAAAAAGATTGAAGAATTTACTTCCATTTTAATCACACCAGAAGTTCTCATTTTGTCCAAACTGGGTACTTCAGCCTTCACATCATTTTAAAATAATTAATTAAACCTGCCTCCTTTGGACAACTTTAGCTTATCTGACCCATTCATTTTATGTACATTGAAAAATTAGGTCATTTAAAAGCAAGAAATTAATTAGTTTCTGGTCCTTCTCCAGTTTATTGTCTGTAGATTTAAAAGCAAAATTATCTGTGTGACAACAAGAAGACAATAAGGGATGTTTTAAACATGATTATGTACGTGTAAGAAAAGATAAAAAGTTACTCTTTTATAGAATGTATTAATTGCATAAAAGAAATTATAAAGGCTCTATTGCAAAGCCTCAGTAACAAGGCAAAGGGAAAAGCCACAAACCGAAAAAAGTTAATTATTATGTGTCAGCTTGACCAAAATATTCAAGAAAGCTCACCCATTGTTTGCTATGGTGCATTTTTTTACCATAAAACACCAAACTTCTGCAAAAACATCATAAATCGTTATCCTGTGACCACAGGATGTGTCAAACTATAAATGCAGGCCACATGACAAGTGACCAAACTACAGTCACATGACTGTAAGTGGCCATCAAACCTTGGAACTGGGTTATAAGTATATTTTGGGGGGATCCATCGTCCCCCCAATGGTCACTATGTCAAGCTGTAGCTACTTTTTGAGAAACAAGAATATGTGAGTAAATCCAGTTCAGACAACGTCTGCATCCTATCCAGTGGTGGGCTGCAATTGGTTTAACAACCAGTTCTGTGACGGCGTGATTCACTCACGCACACATGCACGCTTCATATGCATGCATGCCTAACACGCACAGACGCCTAACGCACTTGTACGCCTAACGCGCGTGCAGGCAATGTTCAAAATACAGCAATTTGAAGCTCAGCTGCTTACCTTCTATGGCAGCCCCAGTACAGCATACAGAAAAGCGGAGGTACAGAAATCAGCTGTGCCGCACGAATCAGCTGAGCCAGAAAGAAGGAAATATAGGACAGGATAGAGCAGGGATGAGTGGCCGGGGCCACCTGATCGTCGGAACTACCGATTTGCTAGAACCGGTCTGAACCGGCAGCAGCCCACCACTGATCCTATCTTTCAATCATGTATTTCCAAATTACATTAAATTAAAATCTGTTTCCCTTGTCACATGTTCTTAATCTGATTTACCTCTTTCAAGTCCTGCAAAATTGCTGTCAGTCGTTCATTCTCTGCTTGAACGTTGGTAACCACAGTTCTACTTTGCTTCAGCTCGTTCTGCATTTCCAAAATCTTCCCAAGGTAATAAGCTTCCTTGGATGCTGACTCCTGAAGGAGCGTCTCTTCCCTGGTCTCACCATCTTCAGCTACTTTACGGTGGACTGAGAATGAGTGTCCAAATGCCTGCAAGGTTAAAATAAGAGCCTGTTAAATAAATAAGTAAACCTACAAGCAAACTGCTAGTCCTCGATTTATGAGTTTCTGTTGCTAAGCAATGAAGTCGTTAACTGAGCGGCACCTGATTTTATAGCCTTTTTTTTTTTGCCACCATTCTTAAGTGAATCACTGCAGTTAAATGAATCATAAAGTCATTAAGGGAATGTGGCTTCCTCCATTGGTGTTGCTTGTTGGAAGCCAACTGGTAAGGTCTCAAATAGTGATCATGAGAGCCTGGAACTCTGCAACTGTCATAAATACATGCCAATTGCCAAGCATCCAAATTTTTGATCATATGGGGATGCTGGTAGTCATAAGTGCAAGGATTAGTCGTAAGTCACTTTTTACTCAGTTGTAACTTGGAATGGTTGTAGTCAAGGACTATCTTTACTCCTTAGACCAGGGCTGTCAAAGTCCTGACCCGTGGGCTGAATGCGTCACGCGCTGGCCATGCCCACACCCAGTTTAGCAAAGAGGGGGAAATTCCTGATACGTCACATGATGCCACCATGACGACGTGAGTTTGACACCCCTGCCTTAGACTCATGTTGACTATTTTAAAAGAAAGTAAATAACGTATTCATGAACTGTGGGAGCTATTAAGACCAGAGCAAAAAAATATGCTGAATATTAGCAACAGTTTCACTGACCAAATTCCTTTAAATTTGGACAAGTCAGCAATAATAGCACTTAGACTTTTATATCGCTTCACAGTGCTTTATAGCCCTCTCTAAGCAATTTACAGAGTCAGCATATTGCCCCCAACAATCTGGGTCCTCATTTTACCAACCTCAGAAGGATGGAAGGCTGAGTCAACCTTGAGCCTGGTGAGATTCGAACTGCCAAATTGCAGGCAGCTGGCAGTCAGCAGAAGTAGCCTGCAGTACTGCACTCTAACCACTGTGCCACCACCGCGGCTCTTATTTCCGTGACTGGCCATATCAACTGGATGTAAGAACTAACAATAAAAATCCACAGGGCCACAACTTCATCATTCTGTCTCATGTAGTCTCTTACATTTAGCCTTGTGCTTTGTTGCTAACAAGAGCAAGTTAATCTTGTATGTTGCTTCTGCTTAAATTACACTAGGAATTTGAAACCTTTTTCTGCCATCAAGGCCTACAGAGAAGTAACAAATCCTAATCATTGACTTCATCGGTGTGATCCACCTAGAATCTTGGAATTCAACCCCCCAAACTTTAAATCACACGCAGCAACTAGATTCCGATAAGGCAGGGGTGTCAAATGCAATTTCATTGAAGGCCGCATCAGGGTTGTGTTTGACCTCGGGGAGCTGGGGTGGGTGTGGCCAGGGTGGGTGTGGCCAGCTCAACATCACTTATGTTGGGGGCGCCCCTGTGCTGGCCAAGCACTCTGCCAGCGAAAAAGGGGTCCCAAGCTCCGTTTCCGGCTGCGACAACTTCTTGTAACCATCTGCCAGTGAAAACGGAGCTCGGGGGGGCTGCATGTGGCCCGCCCGAGCTCCGTCTTTGCTCATGGGCCGGTCCTTCACTGTTTCCAGGTCGGCCCCATGGGCCAGATCTGGCCTGGGGGCTTTGGGTTTGACACCCCCGAGATAAGGTCTGCTAAAATATCCAATGTCAGCAAGTATGCTGGATGTTAATTTTAAAACAACACATGCCATTTTAAATTTTAAAAAAATATTAATTGTTTCTCCAGCAAAACATCAGGTTATATGTCTATGGTGATTCTCAGTCATCTAGGTCATTGTTGTCCCAAATGGTTGGGACAATCTGGCTATCTGGCGACACAAAATACTGATGAGCTGCATTTTATTTCATGATTGATTATAATTAAATAAACTTTATGGCATTGTTTATTATCTAAACAAAGTTCTGTCATCGATTTTATAAAATACAACTGAAAACAAATAAAAAGCGATACCATAAAAGCTCAATAAAACCAATAAAAATAATACATTTTATTTTAATGTACAGCACATAAAGCCACAGTAAAACTAACAATTGAACAAGAAGCATAAAAGGTAATTAAGATGAAACCATTATAAAGCATAAACATCTTGGTTATTTGCATATGGATAAGACTTTCAGTATGATCAAAGAGAGTCCCACAATATGCATGGTTTAGAATGAATGACATCATTTGTTCAATACCCAGACACTGTTGACTGAATAATTATAAAACAGAAAAGTTTCTCATCAAAAGAAATCAGATTTAAAAAAGATCCTATAGGCCAGTGATGGCTAACCTTTTTGCCATCGCGTGCCAGGAAGGGGGGGGGTCGCGCACACGGATACCCATAATTCTATGTGTCCCGCCCCCACGCATGCACGCATGATCCCCTCCCCCCGCTCCTGGCACGCGATGGTCTGGTAGGCCCGTTTTTCTTTCTCACCTGGCTCCAGGGCCGCTCTAGGAGTCTGGGGAGGCCAAAAACGGGCCATTTGACATCTTCCGGTCCCACCGGAGCTGAGTTCGCATGCCCACTGATATGGCTACCCGTGCCACCTGTGGCACGCATGCCATAGGTTCGCCTCACGGCTATAGGCTTTATACTTGTGTTAGAAGAATGAGATTCTATTCTTTTCTCTGTTCGTTCCAAAGCTGGAAATCTAATAGAAATCAACAATCAGTGGAGAGTCTAAATATATTTATTCACCCGAATAAATGGGGTGGGTTCTACTTATCTTTACTACTGGTTTGCAAAGGGAGCACGCGCACACGCTTCTGCGCATGCGTGGATCACCCATGATGTTGTGGCGGGTGGGCGGAGCCTCCCGCTGGTTTTACTACCGGTTCTATAGAACTAGACCGAACCGGGAGAAACCCACCACTGCCTGAAGTTTCTTTGAATTGGAGGCTGCTCCAAGAAATAGTTTCCCCCATTCTTTTATATCTTTTAGTAAAAATTTAGCCAATCAGAATGCATCGCTTATCTCAATACTTTTTGTTCTATTAGCATGAACACTTGGTCTGCATATCCTGTTTCTCTTCGCATGGACATTTTTTTGGGTATCCTGTTTAAATGTTTTCTTACCTCAAAATTACACTGAACTTCCTTATTTATGGTTAGCAGAGTCTCTTATCTATAGCAAAAACACGAACGGGCATTTTACCCTTCCTCTACATGCATTCCGTTGTTACATGACACACTCATTTGTCTATTCAGGAGCCAGTTCCTGACAGGAAGCGTCATTATTATATAAGATACAGATCTTCCTTTCCTTGTTGTAAACATAATCCAATAATAGAAGGCCTAAAACTTCCTCAGCTTGTAGACAGGCTAGAGTAAAAAACTTTGGAACATCAGAGTTGGAAGGGACCTTCTGGACAGCATCCTCTCCTCAAGCAGGCAACCCTATATCATTTCAGGAAAATGGCCGTCCAATCTCTTCTTAAAAACCTTCGGTGATGAAGCAACCACAATTTCTGAAGGCAAGCAGCTCCACTGGTTGATTGTTCTCACTGCCAGGAAATTTCTCCTTAGTTCTAAGTTGCTTCTGTCATTGATTATTTTCCATCCATTGCTTCATATCTTGCCTTCTAATGCTTTGAAAATAGGTTGACTCCTTCTTCTCTGAGGCAGCCCCTCAAATATTGGAACATTTCTATCATGCCAGCCCTAGTCCTTCTTTTCACTAGACTAGCTATACCCAATTCCGGCAACCTTTTTTCATATTTTAGAACAGGGGTGTCAAACTCGGAGCATCACAGCGGTGTCACGTGACATATTGTGACCTTTCCCCCTTTGCTAAACTGGGCGTGGCCATGGCCAGCGCATGACACATCCAGCCCGCGGGCTGCATGTTTGACAGCCTTGTTTTAGAAGGTTCCATTTGACTGGTTGCCATCTCCCATACGTAGGATCACACATTCACAAAAGTACAGAAGTCTCTGTTCAACTGAAAGTCTTTATTCCATGAAAATGAATTTTTGTTGCTGTTCAGTCCGACTCTTCATGACCCCATGGACTACAGCACACCAGGCTTCCCCGACCACCACTCTCTCCCAAAGGAAAAAGAAATAAATGGAAATATATAGTTCTGCTTGGAAAACTAAGTACCCATTAACTATAAGCAAAAATACCAGCATGAAATAATTGTAGACAGTAAAAGATATCAGAATGAGATTGTAAAAGCTCTTAAGGAACCCATATAACCCCATTATTGGGGAACCATTGAAAATGGAATGCTTTTAGAATGGAATGTGCTAATTTATTACTGTTAAGGTAATGATTTAATAGCTGAACAGCTGCTGTAAGGCTGTAGTACTGAAATGATGATGCAATGAGAATGAGTCAGCAGGGTTATTCAACTGTTATCACTTTAAGAGGCTGTTTTATAAGAGAGGCCCAATCAGAGCATTCTGTTTCTCCATGTGTGCTTCTCTGCTATAGTTGATGATTGATTGACCAAAGGAACCATGGTGGCGCAGCGGACTAAAGTGCTGTTAAATAGCACTTAGCTGCCAGCTGCCTGCAATTACTGCAAGTTCAAATTTCACCAGGCTCAAGGTTGACTCAGCCTTCCATCCTTCCGAGGTAGGTAAAATGAGGACCCGGATTGTGGGGGCAATAAGCTGACTTTGTATAAAAAGAACACCGCTGGGGGGGGGGGGCGAAAGCCCTACTAAGCAGGTATATACAAAAGTATGAAAGCTATTGCTTAACGCATTGTAAGCCGCCCTGAGTCTCAAATAAATAAATAAATAAATAAATAAATAAATAAATAAATAAATAAATAAGATTGCCTAACTTTGCCTAGTACATGTATGTATATATTCCTTGTGGATAAACCACTATTTGAAAGACAAACCTCTGTTTACTGTGTTTTGCTCCGGGGTTGCCTCAAAATAGTCACACTGTGCGTACTCTTGACACTTACAAACAAATGTTTCCTTATCTAGAGTTAAACTAGAAGCTTCCTGATTTATCATCAAAACAGATGGCTCCTTATCGAGAGTTAAAACGGAAAGGCATTAATGGG